TTCTGAATATGAAGTTTGAGGTTTAAAAGGATGTTCCTTGTAGGAAGTAAAACGAAAGGAATGAAAAGGAATAAACATGTTTCATTGGGTTTTCTTATTGTTTTTCATTGATAATTTGGTTATAATTTTCAGTTACTAAACTTGCCTGATTGTACCATACACCGTGGAATTTGATTTTTAACGTGCTCCAGATTTCTTAATGTTTAACGTGAAATAGTCTAAACTTAAAATCTCGACATTGTTACTCGTATTAGCCCTATATATAAACATATGGTTGTTGAATCAAGAATTGATTTTGAAAATCTGTGTTCTCACCTTGAAAACATTATTGCTAATTACTAAATAGTTTAAATATTTGAATTTTATATGATATACATTTCCTCTCTGTGAGAGCAAGTAGCATAATTGAGGATATTATTTGCTGATAGCGTATTTACCTTTCCTTCAACTGTACTCTACTTGATGCAGTGGTATATTGAAAGATCAATCGAAACCCATTATTTTCTCTATAGCAAGGCTCGATCGGGTTAAAAACATTACGGGATTGGTGGAGTCTTTTGCTAAAAATCCCAAGCTCAGAGAATTAGCGAACTTGGTTTTGGTAGCAGGTTCCATTGATGTAAAAATGTCAAATGATAGAGAAGAAATTGCAGAAATTGAGAAGATGCATTCTCTAATTGAGCAATACAATCTAGACGGCCAGATAAGATGGATAACAGCCCAAACAAATCGAGCCCGTAATGGTGAACTTTATCGCTACATAGCTGACAAGAGGGGGATTTTTGTTCAGGTTTGATGTTCGTGTTCATTTTTTTATTTGTCAGACAATTGCATCTAAATTCCCATCTCGTCATCTAAAACATATAATTGTTAGAGAAGATAAACGTTTATTTACTTAAAGTTAGTCTTCAACACAATACCTCGTGTAGGCTGGACACACACACGCACACAGTTTTTATAATGGGCGACGACAGGAATTGAAAATGAGACCTTTGCCTTCTACAATGTTATATTGAACCACCTCATTTAAAAGTCTAAGCAATTATGGGTGGGGAGGACACATTTATTTTATTTAATTAGGCATGAAACTTTGTTGATTTCTTTATTTAAGTGACAAATGCATCCAAATTTGTGTCCAATAAATGAATTTTTTGACCAAACAACAATTACTTCATCTCCATTCAGCCTGCCTTTTATGAAGCTTTTGGACTTACGGTGGTTGAGGCCATGGCCTGTGGCCTTCCAACATTTGCAACTTCCCATGGTGGTCCTTTGGAAATAATTGAAGATGGCATTTCCGGTTTTCACATCGATCCATATCACCCCGATAAAGCTGCTGAACTCTTGGCGGAATTCTTTCAAAAATGCAATGAAGATCCAAGCTATTGGGTTACGATATCCGAAGGATCTCTTCAAAGAATTCGTGCAAGGTATGTACTTTGAGATGGACACTTACCCTCTCTTGTAGGTCTTTTATTACTGGATTTCTGCAGCTGGATGATTAAGAGCATGTTTGGATAGTTAAGCTTAAAAACTTATTTATTAAGCTCTTGTTAGATGGAGATTAAAATCAGATTTTTATTAGATTTTGATAAAAGCATAAAATGTGGTTGAAAAGTTGTGTCTCATAAAAGTATGTGGTTAAAATTAATTGTTGATTTTGAGTTAGATTAACATCTTAATTTTAATCCGCACCAAACAGGGGCTAACTAAGTAAGTTTTAAATTTAACATTTTATTTTATTGATCAAATTTGAAGCTTAAAACCCCTTAAAAGGGGCTCCTTTTTTTTTTTTTTAACAGTATGAACAACGAATGGTCATATTGTTAAGAAAAAAGGCCTTAAGGGGGCTTTTGAGCCTCGCCAAGCATGTTAAAGAAGTTGAAGTAACTTGGTACCCTTTTTAAAGCTTAGCCTAACATTTTTTAATTTGAATTAGAAAGAGTGAATAGATGTTAATAAATCCAAGCTTGAAATCTGAATATCAAGACAGGTGAGTTCACTTGAAATATGTACAGGGCATCATTCAGAACCACAAAAACCTGTCATTGAAACTACAAGTTGAACAAACACAGACTGCCGTCTATTTTAACCTCTTTAACATTTGATTGAAGCTCAGCCAAACATGTGAACAGTAGGTTGCAGCTTGTAAAGTTGGCGCATTATTACAAACTTTTTTGCATTTTTGAGCTTTACTAGTCTACGGGTATCATTAACCTTTTTGGTGAAGGTATACATGGAAAATTTACTCTGAGAGGCTGATGACATTGGCGGGAGTATACGGCTTTTGGAAATATGTATCAAAGCTTGAGCGCCGTGAAACTCGACGATATCTTGAGATGTTCTACATTCTCAAGTTCCGTGACTTGGTGAGATTACTCTACTTGTCCTGTTAGAGTAGTTTTAGCCAATCAATCCTGAAAAAGCATAATAAATTTGTAACAGATTGCATGTTTCTTCTCTCGGAGTGTTTGAATTCAATATAAATGTAACACTGAGTAAGATAACAGACACTAGCAAACTGAGCACGAAACAGACAAATAGGTGCAAATTCGGACATAGGGGAACTACTAGAATTTTTTCTCAAGTATTTTCAAAATGTCACTTAAATAATATACACAGAATGTCTATAATGCATTTGCCGTTGCCTGTTTCAGGTAAAATCTGTTCCTTTGGCAGTTGATGGTCCACAGTAGAAAGGGTGCAGAGAAGAAGCATCCCAATCTTCTGATCCAAATAAATGTCCGATTTTATGTCTCTGTGTACTGATTCTGTTGTGTATTATAAGGAAAACTTGAAGATAACTCGGACATGTTAAATAAATATGTTTGTTTCTGAAGAGATTTGGCCGAATGGTTTTTGGTACATAGATCGATAACTGGGTTATTAATGCATCAACTTAGTAGTAACCAGTTAGCCAAATAATGCCATCAGGGTCCCTTTATTTTTATTGACTTTAAGGCCCCGTTTGATATAATTTATTTGGGAATAATGAGTATTTGAATAATATTTTTTTGAAGAATGTGTTGTTAAAAAGTAAAAAATGGGCTTCGTTGTTTTCAAACCATCAACACACGGTAGCCGTATAGCTCACCTTTTTATCTACGACAAATCGAGTTATTTATACATGACAAAACTTTCATTCTCAAATGTTGCTCAAATTATTTACAAAGTTTATTCATTTATGAATTCTATATGTGTGTAGATTTCACATAAAAGATGTATAATTTTAAGCAATTTTCCATAAAGCATCATAATTTTGTAAAGAATAATTCCATAGATACATGGAATTATTGACAAAAATGATACAGGTCTTGCGTTGACAACATCTGTATAGTATATTTTCTGTATTTGTTGTATCAAAAATTAATAAAAAAACTATCTTTCTGTAGGAATTCTGTCAAACTATTTTTGTACTTGTAGCAAAATTGACGTGTAAAACATGTAAGTACTTGATTTTGCTTTGATAAAGTAATTCATATTTCGAAAGGGTTGTACTTGTTGTACAGCCTCGTGTACAGCATGGGTCACAACCTCCTCACATGAGAAGGGCCTAGCCTCGTCATGTGAGGGGGCTATACATGTACAGTTCGATATGGACTATACAAGCAGTTCAACCCATTTCAAAAAGTTTGAAAGTCAAAGAGCTTATCAAATTGAAACTCAAGTCTAACGTACTAGTCAAAAAAGATGGCATACAGTCACAAATGAGCCCACATGCATGCTACATAATTTTGACTCTCTTCTAAATAATTCGAATAGAAGTTCAACAGAATGAGAATGGCTTTCTATGGCTTTTCTTCCTTCAAAAGCATAGAAGTGAAATTACCCAAGAAAAAAAAATTATTGTGGCGTCAGTTGACCCCACATGACGGCATGTGGGTTTGCCTCTACTCGATACATGCAGTTATCCGATCATCAAATAAAAATGTTGAAAACACCTCCCCATTTGGCCCCCCATTTTGTGGTAATAAAAATAGGTGGAATAATGTTTTTTTGAAAAATGAGTGGTTGAAAAAGAAAGAAAAATTTTCGATATACGTGTAATATTATTTTATGAAAGATTGTATTGTTAAAAATAGAAAAGAGAAAAATAAAATGTAATTGAATGAAAATTAATAGGGGTCAAACGGAGCTTAAAATTCAGAGGAACTCTAATCTTAGAAAACACTAGTGTATGCTTGCTACAAAGAACTAAATGGTGCTCGATATTATAATGCAAAATACTTTCTAATATAGCTTACGAAATGCACTTGGCGTATAGCGAACTCAAGCAGATCTGTTTATCCTCAAAGTCGTTTAGTTACAAATATTGGTACCTAGAATACCTACCTTCTTCACTGTCGACCCCCATAAAGCGATTCCTTTTTTATATTTGACACAGATTTATCCGCTAAAGATGAGCACAATACAGCTTTCTTCACATTAAAACTAAGGCATGTGTAAATATAGTGTCCTTAAAACAAAGCGTCCATCTTCCAAGAAACAATGGAGGAAACTAGTAGAAACCGAACACTAAGTTTCCACATCTCAAACTGAATTTTATCTGAATACTATCACCAAGACTCGGATGGGGAAAATTCTGGACAAACAGAGAAGGGAATATATTTTGGAAAAGAGAGATTTGTCTATGGAACTGATCAGCCACCCTCGTAGGCTCGATATAATAGACCATTAATATTAAGGGATAAAAATTTCATATCAGTTAAATACCGAAATATTGACCAGCTTAAAAAGGTTTTGGGTTACTCCTCTTAACAATGTTGACCTTATTAAGATAGACGTCAAATTTTAACATGGTATCAGAGCCACCCCTTGGATTTCAAGATTGGTTTGCTCAAATGAGCCAACATCTTGAAGGGACCTGTTAAGGAATGTATTATCCCACACCGGTTCAATACCAAAATAAATATCAATTTATAAAGATTTTAAACTTCTCCACTTAACAAAGCTGACCTTATTAAGATGGATCCCAAGTCTTAACATGGTATCAGAGCTCATTAAATTCCAACAAGCAATGCCCCAACATGCTTGTTGTCCCAACCAAATGTATTGTCAGATTCATCGGCACCAAGGGTCAGTCCATTTGCTTGAATGTAGTTGAGGTACATTCGATTCTTGGTGGCCTTGTGCAACCAAGCAGCACCCCACAATAGCTCATCCTTGAATGATCAGAATCAGTGACAAATTCACGGCAAACTATCGTGTTCCCCATAAATTTAGGGATGGCTACTAATGCAAAATGCAAGAAAAATAACACATGAAAAGAATCACCTGATATCCAGAAAAATCACAATAATAAGGGCAGACATATGGTTTCAGACCATTGCTGTAAGAACCTCTGTACTTATCAGCAAACTCAAACACCTACAAACCAAACTTAAAAGTACATTAAAATATAATAAAATAGTTCAATCTTGTTGAATTAAAGTGTTGGTATTTAAATTATACCCTGATGGCCCTTCTGGCAAGGAGCTTAGAATAAGTGGGGTCACTTCTTCTAAAGACTAAAGAGGCTGCTGCAAGAGCTGCAGCTGTTTCAGCTGCAACTTCAGTGCCTGGGGTATTTTTGTCTATCTTAAACACACTTCTTGGAGTATCCATGTCCTCAGGTCTCTCCCAACAAGCATGGTCCTTCCCTGCATCCCCCACCTGCCCAAAACACAACTCAATTTCACATACTATTGCTGAATAAGATTCGATACGGCTTTGTTTGGGATAAAAACGTAAGGATTTTGAGAAATGCCTGAACATAAATGGTGTCAGGTTGAGCAGTGGCTTTGAGAAGATAATCTGTAGCCCAGCGAATGGCTTCTTTTGCATTCTGCAACTCTCCTTTCACAAGACCACCAAACTCAATGACACTCCAAGAAAGCATGGTGGTAGTGAATGCCATTGGAAACCCAAACTTCACATTATCCCCTGCATCATAATACCCACCCACCAAATCAACCTGCATTGTCATTTAAACTTAAAAATAAGCAAAACCCAGTTAAAATAAAGCAAAAAATCCCAAAACTGATCATTTTTTAGCAAAAAAATAAGAATAAAAATAAAAATAAAAGAAAAAGGGAATAAGAATACATGAGCAGCAGAGCCATCTGAAAGCCCAGAGTTTCTCCTCCAAGTAATCCTTTGATTAGGAGGAAGTCTCCCCGATCTCTGTCCCTCAAAGAACATAATAGATTTGGTTAGTGCATCTCTGTAGTTGTGAGAGGCAATATGGCGGTGGCGGACAGGGTAGTGCTTGGCGGCGGCGCCCAGAAGTTGAGTGGAAAACAGAACAAGAAACAACAACGTAAAATAAGTAAACAAAGAGGAGGAGGAAGAGTAAGCCATTTCTGTGCTGCCTATAGTGTACACAAAATCCTAACCAACCAGTGAGTTTTTGCAGAGACAATGCAGAGAGGTCGACAATGCAGAGAAGTCTCTGCTGTATTTATAAAGCAAAAGCTGCCCCTTCAACTTCCTGCTTGGCAATAATGATTAAAGCTTCTTCCATGGTTTCTTTTACTTAACAATAATTATTTTCTAATAAGTAAAATTATTGGGTTTTACATTTTTCTTTTGATTGTTGGTGAACCATTTATCATCTTTTTCTTTTATTATTTTTTAATTACAATACCTCTCTCTTTTACGTAGTGTCAATTCAGAACTCCTCCTCAACGGTAACGATCAGTGTGACTTGTCACGTGAAAGCTTTAATCAAAATGACTCTTGGATAAAATTGCATTGGACATGAAGCTTGTAAACCAGTTCTATCGGACTTGATTATCAGGTGGTTTATACTATGCTTTAGTAATGTAGGACCGAATTCCACAGCCAACACGTGCAAAACCGGGCTCAGTTTATCACAACATCGACACCAAAACTTGAGACGACTCCAAAACCACCCTATGCCGCCACCGGTCCGGTTGCTATCAATTGGGAAGGAGAAGACCAAGAATATTCCCACAATATGTTAACCACAAAGGTCACAGTGAAAGGGAAAGGGAGAGGCCGAGAGAGAGATAGACTCACAAAGAGGGGAAAATTTCACTCTAATGGAGGCCGAGAGAATGAGGGGATTATATGTCAAATATATTGTCCAAAATAGGTAAGTTACAATTAGGGCTAAGTGGTGGATCAACTAACTAGGCTCGACTCAAATAATTGGGCCTCAACAATAATAATATAGCCTTCCAAGGAATGGTGCGGGAACCGTGAGCAACACTATAAAATAGGTTACTTCGAACGATCCATAACAAAGTGGATTGTGTTGTCTCGTTAATTGTGTCGATCTACTAATCAATCATTAGGCCGAGGCCGATTGATAATAAACAACCGAGGTTACATCATCGCCCGGGGAGGTCGTTTGACAACAAAATTGTCTAACAACCTCCACCTTGGTGTCAAAGGACCTGCAAAGAAAATTGTCTCCTATTAGTGACACCTCTAATAGAAAAACAATAAAATTGGAAATCATTTACATGTACCAATGTTTAGAAGTTCCTTGCAACTCCTAAACTTTGCTAGTGGCAGTACCTTCGTCCCCATATCAGATGGGTTAATTTTTTTTTTTTGTTTTTTTTTTTTTTTTGCAAATTTTTCAAATTTTATTGATAAAATATTATTTTTTCCACATTTTTGGACGAGCCGGCTCGTGGGCTCGACTCGTTGGACGCGACCCCTCGCTCGGCTCTAGCCCGAGCAGCCACGAGCCGAGCTTTGACGAGTCGAGCCGAACCGGCCCAATTGACATCCCTACCCCATTTGGCCCCATTTTTTGATAATAAAAATGGGAGCAATAGTATTTTTTTGAAAAATGAGTGGTTGAAATGGAAGGAAAAACTTTCGATTCACGTGTAATATTATTTTATGAAATATTGTGTGGTTAAAAATAGGAAAGAGAAAAATAAAATGTAATAAAATGTAATTTAATGGGGTCAAACGGTGGCGAATTGTTGTGAAAATGGTTGAGGAAAAATTCCAAGTTGTCAAGATTTAACGATGTGTATTTATCAAGTTTGATTTCTATTTACATGTGTTTTTTCCATCTATTTGGAGACATGCGAGTTAAATAAGTGGTGGATGAATAATTAAATGAAAAAAATAAGAGAGTACTGAGTAACTCGTTAAAGATAAGTGAGTAAATAGTAACACGTTAACGTTCAATGAGTGTTCATCAAATTTACTATTTGCTTCTCTCACACATTTATTTTTTTCAACGACACTTACTCAAAAAAGTTATTTTAATCTTCTTTTTTTTTTTACATTTTAATTATTCATTGATTTAAAAAACACTTTTAAAAAAATTACTTTTGAAAGAATCAAAATCAAACAAGCCTCAAAAGCTTCTTGACTAGGCTCGGGGCGAGCCCCATTTTGGGGACACGGGCTTTGCCCGAGCCAGCCCGTGAGCTCGCGAACTTTTTTAAAAAAAAATTAAATTAAATTTGTTGCCTAAACTGCTGCCTTAAAGGATCATGGGATCCTTTTCTATCAGATAGGAAGGGCTGTAGCACAAAATGTACTTCTAAATAATTGCCCCATAGATCCTATATCTATCTATATGAAGAAGAGATCATGTAACGAAGGGGATTCTTATTTGCTCAAATGGTACTTCGAACTTGGAACGAGCATGAAGAAATTAACGATACTTCTTTATCTTTTGAGTTGTTATGCCGGATCGGTCGCTCAAGATCTTTGGTCTCTACCCGGACTCGTTGAGAATGATTTTGATCTAGTTCATGACTTATTAAAAGTAGAAGGCGCTTTGATGGGATCTTCACGGACAGAAACAGATTGCAGTCAGTTTGATAATGATAGAGTGATTAGAAGGAGTCGGCCCGAACCGAGGAATCCCTTAGATATGATGCAAAACGGATTTTGTTCTATCTTTGATCAGAGATTTCTCTATGAAAAATACCTTTTTTTTTTTTTTTTTTTTTGCTTGAGTCTGCAAAAAAGCTCGGTCATTTTAACCGGGCCGAGCCCAAGCCAAAGCCAAAATTTTAGGCTCGCGAGCCGGCTCGACCCGACTCTTTTACATCCCTATCCATGACTTCTTTTACTTAACAATAAATAATTAATTAGTTTCAGTTTGGCAAATTTATAAGTGGGTAATCGTTATGAATTCGTATTTAAAATTTATATTTGACTTTGTGGCAAAATTTACAAAACTATTTATAAATTTATATCAAATGAAGGCTAAACACTTGTTTATTTTAGATTTATTAAAAATTAGATTACATCAAACTCAATTTTAATCAAACATTTTTCAAAGAATCACTCCATGAAAAACCAACACGAATAAGTAAAATTTTATTGATTTCTTTATATTTTTCTTTTCATAGTTGTCGCACATGTATTATCTGGCTTTAATTGCTATATCAGCCTCTCTGTTTTACGTTGTGTCAATTCGAAACTCCTCAACGGTAACGATGAATGTGACTTGTCACGTGAAAGATTTTAATCAAATGACTTCTGTACGAAATTGCATTGGACATTAGAAAAATAGAAACATCAATTTTGATGTTTTAAAAAATGATGAATCTTATTTCTTTCTATGAAAAATAGAAACATTAATTTTGACAAATGTAGTGTATGCAATAATTAGAATAAGAGAAATGATAAATAAGTCAGTCTAGCACAAGCATACAGATTCTAGGGAACAATTCCTCGTACTCGTAAATTTGACAAACAATCGTAATCTTTAATTTAAATCAACTTAACGCTCAATATGTTATGGATCGTAAGTGATTATAACAAACTCACCCATAATTTTAGTGAAATACATATTGAACATTGGATTGATTTAAATTGAATATCAGATTATTTATCAAATAAGTGTCAAATTTCTGAGTACGAGGAACGATCCTGCAAATTCTATACTTAACATATACTCGTTTAACTCATTGGACGGACGTCAAATTTGCATTTTGGCAGATTAAAAACCCATTTACAAGTTTGAAATTCAGAGTTCACCGATTCCCGGCCGTTTAACTGGAACTGGAACTTGATTCACAAGGCTATCATAATCATTAGAAAGTTAAAATGAGTGAAGACTTTGAAGTATACATGATTCAGACTGCTGTCGGGCAAAAGACGTGAACAGAAAAGCATGGGTATACTGGTAAGAATCTTGGGTACATTTAGTTGGTCAAAAAGTGTCAAAAGAGGCCCATAACCATGTGGATTTCTGCACTTGAATCAAAAAGATTTATGGATAGATGTTGAATCAAAAAGATTTATGGATGGATGTAGAAAACTTGTGGTAACTATCCACAATATGCCATGAAAGCATATCACCTTGTATTTTTTGAATCAAAAAGATTTATGGATAGATGTAGAAAACTTGTGGGAACTATCCACAATATGCCATGAAAGCATATCACCTTGTATTTTTTGTCGTGATATATTGACTCGTGTACTGATTTAAGTGTTAGAGCATGACTCATGTACAAATTTATGTGTATGTTCTTTTGCAGAATCGAGATATGGTTCTCGCTCGACAGTTAACATAAAAGTTGCGTTTTGTGGGTTTGATCAATTCGATCTCCTGTTCTCTATTTTTGTTCACTTCCCTACTTATATTCATTCTAAAGTTGGAAACCTCGTTTTAAGATGAATACATAGTTTTACTAGAATGTAGAATATAAATGAATTAGTGAACGTCAGGTCATAATAACGAGAAATTAATCCATGGTTTGGTGAGCTAAAAATCAGATTTTTAGTAAATTTTGAAAAGAAAAACTAATGAAATGTGACAAAATTTGTGATTTCCGTGAAACGTGTGATTAAATTTAATTGTCGACTTCGATTTAAATTTTTATTAATTTTTTAATTTACACCAAAAAGGTCTAAAGTTCTTAAGTTAGAACACATCTTGCACGGACAAAAACATTCACTCTTACACAGTGTCAAACTTCAAAAATGTAAGAAGAAAGATGTAAGGGAAAAAGCTATTCTACCAGATTTTATACAGATTACTCACAATGAGATGGGTCCCACCCAATTAAAACACATGCATTATTGAGAAATCAAACAGCACATGGACCTGGAGCAGGGGCGGACCCACATGGGGTCATGTGGGGTCAAATGACCCCACAGTTTTCTGGAATTTTTTTTTTTTTTTTTTTGAAATTCCATGGAAAATGGAATTGGAATTTCATCTTTTAATTTTACCTTGTTTGATAGCATTTTTTCTCTAGAATTGGTTTTCCAACTATCTTGCCACATAAGCCAATTTCCACCTTTTCTTTGAATTGGAATTATCACCAATATGGTGAGAATTTAAATTTTCGGTTACTGTAGTGGCATTTTTTTTGGATTTTTTTTTTTTTTTTTTTTTTTTTTTTTTTTGGTGCTGAAACTTAATTTTCTGTTTTTTTTTTGTGCTGAAAATTCAATTTTCTGCCCTAAAAAGTCCAAATTCTAAATCTATATCCATATCACATGGTCCATATCGAACATGAACAGCAAACAATCGATTTTTCCTTTTTTTTCATGATACGTTGTTCGGAAAAAAAAAATTTTGACCCCACAGTTTAAATGGTCTGGGTCCGC